CTGGAGGCTGCAGATGAGTATAAGGGCTTTAAACTGATCTTCCGACAAAGACTTCAACCGAAAGCGTCCACATTCACGGTCGACGATGCCCACGTGCGTAAGAAAATCATCATCTTCGTTCATAATTAGCTTCGAACATCGATAACGAGTATTAGATAGTGACGAGTTCTCACCAAAGTGTTCGCTCAATGTCTGAACTGTCTCAGAAAATGAACAATCTCGTGGGTTCAAAGGCAGGATCAAATTGCAGTACTTATCCAGCTCTCTAGCACCCAACTTTCCAAGTAGCAGCCGAACCTTCCAAGCATCATCTTGGTTGGCGAAATCAAATTTAAATAAATCTTCATAACGCCGGAACCACATATCAAAAGTAACTTTGGCATCAGGATCATAATGAAATTCTGCTACGCTATTTGCGATGCCGTCGACCGATGGAGCTGTGGTTGCATTAGATGAGCTGGGCTGTGTGGAAGGGGAAATCTTCATGTCTGTCAACATCTGCATCAGTTTCAGCTGCTGCTCAAGTAATAATTCAAGCTTGGCAGGATCCATATTTCCAAATATACCGTCACCACTGATATGTTCGTCACTAGGTACGCTTGAAGCTATTACGAGTTCACCTTAGTCGATAAACGCGAACGAGACAATGAACCATCGTCCAAGTAGGCTACCCTTACCCAATAGATAACCAAAAGTCTGGATATAGCGAAGAAAGTATATTCTGCAAACACCCAGCAAACACAATGCATTCAAGCACACAATTCTCGTTTATTTATACATCGTAGAAACGTCCTTGGGACAGTCGCAAACATATCACACTAAAATACACATCAGCCAATTACAGCCAAGGATTTTCCTGATGGGAAATGAAATCTCATGTTCAACTGATCAGCCCATGCTGGCAAACGTGAAATCCAAAATAAGGCATTTATTAAGTGAGATCTGCGGATATAACGTCTCTAACAGCCATAGATATCTAGTGTTCTTTAGTTTACTGGTAGCTACCATGCCACGATGAAATACTGTATGGAAATTGTTAAACAGATGTGTATGAGTAGTTTTTGAAACGAATCGTCGGGGTATCGTTTCGGCTGTGTGCGATGTTTGAATCCCAATATGATGCTTTCAGGACACTAGTAAATTATTTACCGAGGCTGTTGCATCATCATCAGGTACTATCAACTAACATTGATTTCTATACTCTGTGTAACAATCTAGAGTTGACGTGTGTCTTATCCTAGGTCTCTTTCCATTGTTTTACTCATGTTTCTTATCGGGTTAAAATTCCCACATTCTTTGAAAAGTCCTTGGTTCGGGCAACTGCAATCATGAGGACTGCCAAAAGAAGTAACATTTGTGTGTTAAAGTGAAATTGTTAACTGAGTTTTAAATACTGTTTTGCGCAAAAGGCATCTGTTTATCTTACTGCCTTTATTTTCCTTAAGATGTGAGAGCGAAAAAGCGCTCTAATTGTTACTAGATTACCAAAATTTGATTGACAGCACAATAAATCTTGTAAAGTACATTTCGAAATTCTGGGTTTTCTTGTAAAATGCCATATCTTATATAGCATATTGTGATTTGGCAGTAAACATTGTCCATTGCGACTGTTCTCCTTTGGTCTAATCATCCCGTTTTATGACACCGTATGCTGGGGTTTTTCAGCCGCTTTTGAATTCGGAAGAACAGTCGACGAAGGTTAGATACCCGCCTTCCACAGTTATCCCAAGAAGAAAGCAATTTATCTGCGTAAGAAACGGTTCTGTTATTAGTTAAGGGGTATATATGATTACCTAAACAATATCACACCGTTCTTTAAAACAATCTAACACAGTGTGTTTCTAGTTCTGGAAGAATGCTCCCAGTCCAGATTCAAATTTCACTGCTCAGGGTGTCAAATCCGATATGGCTGAAGCCATGATTAAGTATCAGTTTAAACAGCATAATATAGTTCAGTAGAAAACATAGAAACTCCAGTAAAGGTACAAAAAATAGAAACTATAACAAAATACAAATATTACCATCACAAAATAGGATTAAACGGACCACCAAAATTTAGCACAGACAAAGTCAGTAATAACATATTACAATTATGTTCATGGAGAGATTTTCCTAAAACAAAGCCTTCGGATTGGATTCTACACCGCACACATAATAATATTTGCATACAACATATTGCGCTTGCTTTCATGGTGGTGTGTAAAACTATTTTGTTGCAATCGTGATTCAGTGTATTCGCAATCCGCTGAGGCAATCAAATACCTAACAAAGGAGTTATTGATCAGTGTTGGTCGAATATTACTGCAGCGTCATGAATATTTTAGGGCATTCTTGATTTCTTGTTTGTCAAATATCCTGCGATCAGAAAAACTATTGGATACACATTTTCTCAAAATATTCCTGGCAGTTAACCTATCTAGTTACTAACATCCATTGCCTGAACTAGACGTGGTAGTTTTTCAAGCCCGGTGTGTTAAAAATGACCCTATCTCACAATGGCGTTATAGAATTATAAGTGGTGAGTGATTTTTTAAAATAAGCAGATCTGTGTGAACGGGACGTCGTTATTGACCATGTTAGTTACACTGGATGTCAGATATCTGGAGACTCTTGGTGCAACATCACAACCAGGCCACGATTTGACTTACTGTGTTTTGCTTCTACTGCTTTGGTTAGATGAATTAAGTTATGTTACTTTTGCAAACAATCGACTGTCTTTCATCCCAAAAATCATGGCTTTCCTTTCCACTTGTCATGTGATCAGTTCTTTAGAATATATTTGGTTACCGACAATAATCATTACAGCAGTATCCATGATATTTTCGAGTTTATTTTATTTGTAAAATTTTTTCTTGGACAAGTGACTACTATGTACAGCAGTTTTCTGAATGTGCTTTCATTCTAACTTGGCTTTTAGGTCTAGCGACTTTGTATTTACAAACGCTGAGTTGTGGCGTTGGACTTTCATTATCTTCGAAATTCCGTATATCTCCGTCTTGATGATCTCTACTAGAGAACACGAGTCGTTACCACAATTTCTTTATTATTCAAATTATTTAATGATCGATACAAATATCGGACTTAATTTAGATATGTATAGTCGATATTGACATAGAATTATTCAAACTGTTAATCAATAAAGTCAGTAAAATACCTGTATGTGTAGGCGGCAAGTAATGCCCAAGCGTACATGCGCATACAAGCTCAACAATGATAAAAGTGCAAGATATATGTGAGGTGCTACAGAGCATTATTGTTGCATGCATTAACTGAGTTGAAACTTCTTAATTAAGCCAGGTAGTTCAACTGAGTCACTTGAGAATCTTCGTAGATTAATAGATAGAATAACTTGCATAATTTTGTCCTCATTACAAAACCAAGTTGCACCAATCGCTGATGAGAAATGTATGCGAATGACCAGAAGCACAACAAGCAAGTAAATTTATTACTTACTTACTTTCGCCTGTTACCCCCCAATGGAGCATAGGCCGCCCACCAGTTTTCGCCAACCAACTCTGTCCTGGGCTTCCCTCTCCAGTTCTGTCCAGTGTTTGTTCATTCCTCTCATATCTTTCTCTATTTCTCGGCGTAATGTGTTCCTTGGCCTTCCTCTTTTCCTTTTGCCATGAGGGTTCCATGTGAGGGCTTGTCTCGTGACACAGTTAGGTGCTTTTCGTAATGTGTGTCCTATCCACTTCCACCGCTTCTTCCTGATTTCCTACTCCTCTGGAATCTGGTTTGTTTTCTCCCACAGTAGATTGTTGCTGATGGTGTCTGGTCAACGAATCCGAAGTATTTTGCGTAGACAACTGTTAATAAACACTTGTATCTTTTGGATGATGGCTTTCGTAGTTCTCCAAGTTTCCGCTCCAAACAGTAGAACTGTCTTGACATTTGTATTGAAAATCCTGATTTTGGTGTTGGCTGACAGTTGTTTTGAGTTCCAGATGTTGTTCAGTTGTAGAAATGCAGCCCTTGCTTTGCCAATCCGCGCCCTCACATCTGCATCAGACTCACCTTGCTCGTCCATGATGCTGCCCAGATATGTGAAGGTGTTAACGTCCTCCAAGGCATCTCCATCAAGAGTGATTTGGTCGGTGCATGTTGCATTGCGTCGGAGAATTTTGCTTTTTCCTTTACGTATGTTGAGACCTACTGCTGCAGAGGCTGCTGCTACACTGGTCGTCTTCTCTTGCATTTGTTGTTAGGTGTGCGATAGAAGAGCCAGGTCATCTGCGAAGTCCAGATAAGTAAATTTATGCGAAACATAAAAAAGAGAAATTTGTTTCAGTACGTACGCAAAGGGTAGTCCCCATCGTGATCTGGTTTTTATGTCGTTACAAAGCAAAGAAGTGCTACATATGACCAAATCTTGATTTCGTTATTCGTTCACTTTACGGGTATACTCGTTATGTTAATGCTTTATGCTGGAAACACATGATTATTCTTTACCTCTTCATCTGATTGGGCCTTGAGCTGCCAGGAGACCTAAATACTCAAGGCCTTCCAACTAGGTTTCTAATAATTTATCCCACATCTTGTGTTAATTACAACCCACTAACGAAGTCGCCTTCCAGTTTGCTTTCATTGTGTTTGATCTTGTAGTCATGTGGACTCTTACTCCTAGTCAAGATTGAGGCGGTCCAAGAAAAATCCCTGAGTCTTTTGTGAGGAATCAGAAAGATAAAAAACACTAGTTCTGTGTCTTTCGTGTTTGTCTGACATACTTGGAGGTATGCTCGACCATATTCACCAGACATCAACGCCCCTTAAGTGAAGGCTACCGTTCCGTCCATAACCACTTGAAATGAAACGGAAACTATGAATTAGCGAACAATCTCCCCAGATTTTAGAGTAAGTTGCAGTTCTTCTATATTATTTTACAATTTATTCTGAAAAACATTTGATGTTGCAAACTTGTATCACTGTCATATATGATACACACTTCTCAGAGGGATTTTTCAGTTTCTGATTCAAGATAGAACTTCATCAAATTTCTTATGTCGAAGTACACAAATGAAACGGATTTTATCTGTGAAGAACCTTGTTGGTTTTTGTGGTGGATTTTTGAATCATCTGCCAGTGAATTAAAACAACTTTTAGCGCCTAAGCGAGGCTGTTCACGTTTTGCTGTGGTTGTAAGTTGTTTCAGTTGGTTGCATGTATTTATCATTTTGTTTAGTATTCTTGCTTTCATTTGGTAGTACTTGTAAAGAGACATGGGCGCCAGGCTGTTTTTGAGCAATAAATTAACGCTTCACCTCCAAATCCTCGAGACATTTTCGGGGTGTCGATCCTAACTTGAGGCTGTAATGGATAAATGTCTTTCTTCAAGTCATTAAAAATAGAAATTCTCCAGATAATTAACGCTTTTTTGAAAGGTTGAGGGTGTTAGGATATGGTAGTTTCTTAGTGGAAAGTCAATTTTTATATGTTAACATAGAGTTTGTCTTGCAAAATCACTTTCTCACTTTATCAGTTTTAAGGATAATTAATGGACAGAATTCAACTTTCGATCCACTGTTCATTGAACTCCTTGTCTATCTGGTCTTGAAACCTTGAATTTTACTTCGAACTGTGGAAGCTATTGAGATGTATCTTGCTAGTCGCACAGGATCCACTCGTTTTATTACTTCCTCATGACTGTTATTCGTAGCCGGATCACAGCTGTATTAAGGACCAAAATATGTGCATGATAATGCAGTTCCCTTATTTGTCTATGATTTAAGCTGTTACCTAATAATTATGTGATGCCCTACATTGTTTCCCAAGTTTTCAAAAATTACCACTAACGTTTAACACCCCTTAGACTTTCTCCATTCATATCATCTAAACCCGTGTATCAGCTCTTATATGATCCGTTTCCTTTATCTACGGGTCGATTCTGTACGTCCTAAATGACCTTACTTAGTCATCTTGCTAAATGTAACAATTTCTCGGCTTTCGCCCAGTTATGCTTAGTTTTCTTGTACCTGATTAGTGGTCTATGATCCACGAGGAGTAACAAGTGTAAATTAAGTGTAACCTCGTAACCACGGTACTGATTTTCGAATGTCCGGGTTAGTCCGAACGCTGCTTTAACAACTTGAGTTTGGGCAACCAGATCCTTCCACTGGTCCTGGCAGACGTTGAACTGATGAGTTAATGTGGAGATTCAAACAAGTCAATACCCCATTCTTACTCCGTCCCAAATTTTCGCGTTTACTTTGAAATTTTTAACATTTCATTTGTATGAAATTCTCACTAATGGTAATATCATTGTGGCCTTCATATATTTGCGGGAATTCACAAAATCCAAGTGTTTTTTTCACTAATATCATCTTAGTAACATGGGAGGTGTATAATCATTCCGACTTATGTATAGTGAGTCACTGGTCTCTTTATTTGGACGTAAACTGCGTCATTGCAAACGATTTTGAGCCATGTCGTTCAAGGTCTCTAATCATTGATGATTTATTTCTCGCGGACCGCAACCAGCAGCCTACATCCATTACTGCTAATACTTCTACTATCGCCACCACTATGGGTTTTGAACTGACAGTTGCGTACCTGTGCTGATGGGATATGGCAACGGGAACTTATGTACGTACTTACGAAGTTATACGTTGTAACTGACTGACTGACTGACTTATTTAGACTTTCCTTTACTTTTGTTGTACTTATTCGATGCTCAACCTTCCCTTATTGATATTCACTTGTGTTCTGTTTGACTGCATGGTTTTTGAGGAAATTGGAAAGACTCGTTTGCACATAGTTTTCTCACCCGGATCCATCGACTACGATCTCGATGGTCTGCAAATATAAACATGCCATTTCACTTATTGTAACTGGTAACTCATGAGTAGCTTCTTGTCAGCTAAGCTAAGTTGAAGGAGCATTTAATTAGGTGTTTTCATAATCTTAATGATGATTAACTAATCAAAATATTTAACTCGCTTGTCAAGTCGTTGATTAGAATTCCACGGTTACTACTTAGCCTTAGCTAAACGAGATATATCTAGTTTTCACAAAAAAGATGTAAACCGAGCAATGACATTGTATGGTTACTCAGTTGCATGCACCTTTTACCGCCGTATTGTGGTAAACATAACAAACCGTTAAGTTGTCATCTGACCACCGAATAATCGGAAGTTATCTGCAGTCCGACCGGTATCAATCTCTGGTCCCAATTTATAAGAAAGGAGAAAAGTCCTGTTGTGATACTCACAGAGGAATCAGTCTAACTAATATAGTCTCTAAATTGTTAGCCTCGATTATCCTTAGACGCCTAACTAGTGCTCGTGAAGAGCAGACTAGAGAAAACCAGGCTGGTTTCAGACCTGAACGTGGCTGTATAGATCACGTTTTCACACTACGACAAGTCCTGGAACACAGACACACATTCAGGAGTCTGGTAATAGTTGTCTTCCTGGACCTTAAAGCAGTATTCGAATCTGGATTGTGAGGTTCTGTGGAAGTGTCTGTCATTAAAAGGTGTACCAGAGAAGTATATTAACCTTACACAAGCTCTCTACTCGAACACTACAGGTCGAGTGAGAGCTTATGGCGAACTGTGATCAGTATTGGCTACTTCAAGTGGTGTCCGTCAAGGATATCCAGCCTGGTTTTACCTCTGCGCCAATGCGGTATGCCAACCTGAACTGATGTACTTGGATACGAAGTTGTGCGTTGTATCTGTCCGTCTGTTTATGTAGTAGAACGGAGCGAACTGCTGCGCAGTACACTCGTCATTTATTCAGCAAACGGATATTTTACCTACTCCATAAGTGGCACGACTTCGGCAAAAGCCGATCATGATTTCTGTATTCGTGCTGAGATTTCGTCAGTCACCAGGCCATCAGCACTGGTGAGACTCCCCAGATAAGTGAAGCGATCAACCCGCTCGACTACTTCACTCCCTATCACTAGTTGAGGTGCCGATGCAACCCAATCTTGAAGTAACATTTTGCATTTCGAGGGGGAAAACCGCATCCCGAATATTCTTGCATTGTTGCTTAGGATAGTCAGAAGACTGCATTTTTCAGCGTCTTCACCAAGTAGGACTGTGTCATCGGCATATTCTAAGTCGATAAGCGAGCCTCCTGGTAGAAGGTCTACTGAAAATTCAGATGAAGATAATGTTATATCTAGAAGCATGTCTATGACAAAATTAAACAAGAATGGAGAGAGTGGACATCCCTGACTGACACCACTTGAAGTAAGCTCTCACCCGACCAGTGGTGTTCGAGTACCCGACCGAAGCTGCTACCTTGACGTGGTGGTCGGGCTTGCCTATCGTGATGACCCAACCGAGCTATACTGGCTGGAACACATGTTCCTGCAGGTCCTACCATGCCAGGTAGGTCGATTGGAGAACGATGAGACTAAAAGCAGCTACCCAAGGTCTGAGGGCGAAGTCGTACTGCTGACTGCAGAGGGGTGTGACAGCAGTAAGGTGTTTCCCCCGGACAACCAGCATCTGCAGCGATGCTGCCTTCTCACAAGGAAGGAAGGGTTAGAAAAGGTCGATCCTAAAAATGTCACACCTCCCCTACCTCACGGATTTCCATCTCCGGTGGTAAGGGTGCCCACTAAGGGCCTTTAAGAACGGAGCTAATCCTCTAAATACCTCTCATAAAAAGGCCGTGCGTGACCGGCCTCAAGCAGTTGTCCCTTGGGCTCTGCGGTCACGCACCAACACTAATCCATCTTCCTTTTCAGGTTCGTCAAGAAACAACCTTCCACGGTGTTGGCAGCCGGGAAGTGATAACCGCCCTCATACCCGCAACAGCACACGAGACAAAATTGTTCAAAATCAAATCTTTCCTACATTCCCTAATACCTCTCTTATCTCCACAACTAACTCTTCTCACATTCATTTATTACAGTGCACAGCTAATGCAAACGATGCGAGTTTGCGAAACGTCGTTCCTGGTCTCCTTAAACCCCGTTCCAAACTACATGTTGGAGCATTCAATGTACGGACATTGTGTCAAATAGGGCAACAGGCGTCATTAGCTAGGACTTTAGAATCTCGTTCCATCGATGTGCTGCGTCTCGGAAACGCGCATACAGGATCCGAGTAGCATCACCCATTTGACCTCACCATGTCAAGATAAAGAAGCAGCTCGATTTACCCTTCGTGTATCCGGTAGCCCTGATGCTGCTTCTAGGGGCCTCGCCGGTGTAGGTATAGCATTGAGTCGTAGGGCAGAACAATCTCTCCTTGACTGGATCCCTGTAGATAGTCGCTTGTGCGCCGTCCGACTGAACGGGACAGTAAGGACTCGGAAAGATAGGGACACTCGCCGTTGCCTCTTCGTCATATCAGCCTACGCCCCCACTGACTGCAGCCCAGATGATGTAAAAGATGAGTTTTACAGAAAGCTTTCGGACCTCCTCCAAAACGTTAAGCGCTCTGATATAGTTATAATGGCTGGTGACTTCAATGCACAAGTAGGTAGACTAAGTGAAAATGAAAGACATCTAGGTGGATGTTACGGTCTCGCGGCTCAAAGAACAGACAATGGCGACCGTCTGTTGCAACTGTGCTCAGATAACCAACTATTTCTAGCAAACACTAATTTTAAGCATAAGGAAAAACACCTTTTGACCTGGCGACCCCCGAAGTCGTCCCAACGTTGGACACAACTAGATCATATCGCCATCAGCCACCGATGGAGGGGTTCGATAGAGGACTGTCGCTCGTTCTGGGGCACATGTTTAGATTCAGATCATGCTCTAGTGCGAGCACGTATTTGTTTGAGGCTTGCTGGACGTAGGAAAGACACCGTAAGGAAGCCTCTTAGGGCTTTACTTGATGATAATCAAGCTAAGAAAATATTTCAGGAGGAACTAGAAAAACAGTTGGGCGACCATGGAAGTGATTCCCATCCGGAGGCAGGTTGGAATGATATAAAGAAGGCTGTGGAAACAGCAGTGATATCTGCTAGCAAGGTAAACCATAAGGCTAGGATGAAGCCGTGGATTTCAGTCGCATCCACCGAACTGATGGATGCACGAAAACGCATCCCACCTGACTCTGAACATGATGAAGAGCGTACTCAACTTAGGCGCAGACTTATAAAAAGCCTACGTAACGACCGTGAACAGTGGTGGGTGGTGAAAGCAAAAGCGATGGAAAAGGCAGCGGCGATGGGCAACACTAGACAACTTTTCCGCCTTATCAAAGAAACCGGTATTAGGAACCCGAATGTGAGTGAGACTATCTCGGAAAAGGATGGTCTTATTATCCATTCTCAATCTAGGAGGCTGGACCGATGGGCAGAACACTTTAGGGATCAGTTCAACTGGCCTTCAGCCACACTTCGGTTGCCCACGATCTCCAGTCATCCTGAATGGCAAGTCGATTTAAGTCCTCCCAGTTTACATGAAGTTGAGAAAGCTATAGGAAATCTAAGGAGAGGTAGAGCGGCAGGTCCCGATAGGCTTACCCCTGAGATGTTTAAGGATGGTGGTCCAGTTTTAACGGTTAGACTGACCGAGATCCTAGGTAGAATCTGGGAAATGGACGTAATCCCATCTGACTGGTCTCAGTCGCTAATTGTCCCAATCTACAAGAAAGGACAGAAGTCCTCTTGTGACAATCACAGGGGAATAAGTTTAACTAATATAGAACAGTGAGAAGACGTAATTGATCTGATCAATTACGTCTTCTCACTGTTCTATCAAAATTTATAAAAGGGACTAATTGTTTTAAATTTAACTAATATAGTTTCTAAATTGTTAGCCTCGATTATACTTAGACGTCTAACTAGAGCTCGTGAAGAGCAGACTCGAGAAAACCAGGATGGTTTTCGACCTGGACGTGGTTGTATAGACCACATCTTCACACTACGACAGGTCCTGGAACACAGACACACATTTAGACGTCCGACGTTAGTCGGTTCCTGGATCTTAAGGCGGCATTCGACTCAGTGGATCGTAAGGTTCTGTGGCAGTGTCTGTCATTGAAAGGTGTATCAAAGAAGTACATTAACCTTATACAAGCACTCTACTCGAACACCACTGGTCGGGTGAGAGCATATGGCGAACTGTCATCTGAATTCTCTACATCAAGTGGTGTCCGTCAGGGCTGTCCACTCTCTCCATTGTTGTTCAACTTTGTCGTAGACATCCTCTTAGAGTTAACATTAAGCTAGTCAGATTTTTCAGGGGTTGACCTTCTACCAGGAAAGTCGCTTACTGATCTAGAATATGCCGATGACATAGTTCTATTCGGTGAAGACGCTGACAAAATGCAGAGTCTTCTGACTACCATAAGCAACAATGCGAGCATGTTCGGGATGCGGTTTTCCCCCTCGAAATGCAAAATGTTGCTTCAAGACTGGGTTGCTTCGGCACCTGAACTAGTGATAGGGAGTGAAGTAGTCGAGCGTGTAGATCACTTCACTTATCTGGGGAGTCTCATCAGTGCTGACGGTCTGGTGACTGACGAAATCTCAGCTCGGATACAGAAAGCTCGATTGGCTTTTGCCAAGCTGCGTCACTTATGGCGTAGGCGTGATATCCGTTCGCTAACCAAAGGGCGGGTGTACTGCGCAGCAGTTCGTTCCGTTCTCTTATATGGCTGTGAAACATCGCCGTTAAGAGTAGAAGATGTTCGTAGGTTACTAGTATTCGATCATAGATGTTTAAGAAGCATTGCTCGTATATCGTGGGACAGCCGAGTAAGCAATGCTGTCGTTAGGAAACGAGTACTAGGTAAGGATGGCAGATCAATAGATGAAGTGGTGAAACTTCATCAGTTGAGGTGGTTGGGTAATGTGTTACGTATGCCTAACCACCGACTGCCTCGACGAGCTATGTTTTGTGGTGTAGGAGTAGGTTGGAAGAAAGCTAGGGGCGGCCAGACCAAAACGTGGCAGAAATCCATGAAGTCACTGACAAGTGGACTGAGTCATGTTGGTAGATGTAGACTACCTGGTTGGGGTCCGCGAGACGAAAGTCATCAATGGTTAGAGACCTTGAACGACATGGCTCAAAATCGTTTGCAATGGCGCAGGTGCATCCACTCTTTGAGCTCTCTCAAATCCTAATGTTCTGGATTAGCCAGCACCTCTACCTTTGTCTAACCTTATCTCACTGAATTATATTTTTTGAATAATATCTTAAACCCTAGTCTTCTTTATTATAACATTAATACCTCTACCATCTTTATCACTATGGGATTTGATTTGACATTTGCGTCTCTGTGCTAATAATGTGGTATGGCAACATGAACTTATGTACATACGTACGAAGTTCTACGTTGCAACTGACTGACTGACTGACTGTTCGAGTAGAGAGCTTGTACGAGGTTAATGTACTTCTCTGATACAGCCTGGTTTTCTCTAGTCTGCTCTTCACGAGCTAGAGTTAGGTTAATCGAGGCTAACAATTTAGAAACTATATTAGTTAGACTGATTGCCCTGTGATTGTCATAAGAGGACAGGGATTGGGACCAGTTGGATGGGATTACGTCCAGTTCCCAGATTCTACCTAATATCTCGGTCAATCTAGCTGCTAAAACTAGACCACCATCCATCAATATCTCAGGGGTCAGTCTATCAGGACCCGCTGCTCGCCCTTGCTTCATATTTCCTATAGCCTTTTCAACTTCATAAAGAGTCGGGGGACTTACGTCGACTTGCCATTCAGGATGACTGCAGATTGTGTGCAGCCGAAATGTGGCTGAACGCCAATTAAACTGATCCCTGAAGTGGTCTGCCCATCGATCCAATCTCCTGAATCGAGAATGAATAATAAGTCCGTCTTTTTCCGAAATAGTTTCACTTACAATCGGATTCCTAATACCGGTTTCCTTGATGAGTCTGAATAGTAGTCTACTGTTGCCTATCGCCACTGCCTTTTCCATCTCTCTTGCTTTCGCTACCCACCACTGTTCACGGTCGTTGTGTAGGCTTTTTGTCGGCCTGTCCCTAAGCTGACTTCGTTCTTCATCATGTTCAGAGCCAGGTGGGATGAGTTTACGAGCGTCTATCAGTTCGGTGGATGCTGCTGAGATCCACGGTTTCTTCCTAGCCTTATAGTTTAACTTACTAGCGGATATCACTGCTGTTTCTACAGCTCTTTTGATATGATTCGAAGCTGCCTCATGGTGGGTATCACTTACTGTTTTTCTGGTTGTTCCTGAAATATATTCTTAGCTTTATTATGATTAAGTAGAGCCCCAAGAGGTTTCCTTGCGATATTTTTCTTCCGTCCAGTGAGACGCAAACAAATACGCGCCTGCACTAGAGCATGGTCCGAGTCTAAACAAGTGCTCCAGAATCGGCGGCAGTCTTCAATAGCGCCTTTCCGCTGATGGCTTATAGCGATGTGATCTAGTTGGGAGTCGAGAGGTCAAAAGGTGTTCTTCCTTATACTTTAGTGTTTGCTAGAAATAGGCGGCTATCTGAGCATGGCTGCACCAGACGGTCGCTATTATCTGTTCTATCAACCGCGACACTATAAGATCCACCCAGATGTCTTTCCTTTTCTCTGAGTCTACCTACTTGAGCATTGAAGTCACTAGCCATTGTTACTACAGCAGAGCGCCTAACGTTTCGAAGGAGGTTCGAAAGTTTCCTGTAAAACTTATCTTTCACCTCGTCTGAGATGAAATCAGTGGGTGCGTAGGCAGACACGACGAAGAGACAACGACGGGTGTCCCTATCTTTCCGAGTCCTTACTGTCCTAGTTCTGCCGTACGACTCAATGCTATAACTACACCAGCAAGGTCCCCGGAAGCAGAATCAGGACTACCGGATACACGAAAAGTAAATCTAGCTGCTTCTTTATTTTGACAAGGAGACAGACAGAGACAGATACAACGCAGAACTTCGTACGTACGTACATCAGTTCAGGTTGCCATGCCCAATCAGCACAGACGCGACTGTCAGTTCAAATCCAAGAGTGATAGTGATTTTAGAAGTATAAGCAGTAATGGAGAAGATTAGGGAGTGACGATATGATTCGAGAAGTATAATTCAGTAAGATAAATTTAGAAGGAGAAAGGTAAAGATTATGAGGAATTCGGAAGGTTAGAATTAGAGAGAACACAAAGAGTGGATGCACCTGCGCCATTGCAAACGATTCTGAGCCATGTCGTTCAAGGTCTCTAACCAAGGAGAAATCAGATTAACAATTTTACTAGAATCCTGTATGCGCGTTTCCGAGACGCAGCATACATCGATGGCACGAGATTCTAAAGTTCTAGCTAAGGAGGCCTCTTGCCCTATTTGACACAGTGTCCGTACATTAAAAGCTCCAACATGTAGTCTAGAACGAGGTTTCAAGAGACCAGGAATGACGTTTCGTGAACTCGCACCGTTTGCATTAGGGGTGCAGTGAGATAAGAGAATGTGAGTAGATTTAGTTGTGGAGAGAAGAGAGGTATGTGTGAGTGTAGGAAGGATTCGATTATGACCGGTTTTGTCTCGCGTGCTGTTACGGGTATGAGGGTGGTTGTCACTTCCCGGCTGCCCACACCGTGGAAGGTTGTTTCTTGAGGGACCTGAAAAGGAAGATAGATTAATGTTGGTCTTAGAGACCTGTGAGCTTGACCTCAGAGCTCAATGGACAACTGCTTGAGGCCGGTCACGCACGGCCTTTTGGTGAGAGGTTTTTTGAGTGTTAGCTCCGCTCTTTTTAAAGCCCTTAGTGGGCACCCTTACCACCGGAGATGGAAATCCGTGAGGTCAGGTGAGGTGTGACATTTTTAGGATCGACCTTCCCCAACCCTTCCTTCTTTGTGAGAAGGCAGCATTGCTGCAGATGCTGGTTGTCCGAGAGAAACACATTACTGCTGTCACACCCCTCTGCAGTCAGCAGTACGACTTCGCCCTCAGAGCTTGAATAGCTGCTTTTAGTCTCATAGTTCTGCAATTGACCTGCCTGGCATGGTAGAACCTTTAGGAACATATGTCCCAGCCAGTATAGCTCGGTTGAGTCATCACGATAGGCAAGCCCGACCACCACGTCAAGGTAGCAGCTTAGGTCGGGAGTTTTCAAACACGTTTCTTGTTACATTATACAGATCAATAAGTGGGAATCACCAATCTTACTGTGTGGTTATTTTTTTCATGTTCGTTGTACGTGTTTTTAGCTCTACATGAAAGCCATAAGCAATTCTCACTAATGTACCGGAACAACCCTGTGAAATCAAATTCGTCGAACTCTCCACGGGCATCCCAGTCGTACTACTCTAGAATTCTTTTACCAAAGGTGTCGGGTGATGGTCCAATTTACCATTCTCAAAAACGGCACTCTCTTTTAAATGGTTCAAGTTCAACATCTTCAGACTGTTCTAAACAATCTCTGGTTTCAGCCTACTTTGGTCGAAGTCGAACACTACACAGGGATTCCCCAAGTTATATGCCAACTATCTTTAACTTCCAACCTGTAAATGGTTATCATTCCCCTGTTCTGAAACGTCGCGTCTGCGGAACTGAGCGCACGAAAACAAACTTAGTTGGCACTACTGAGCCACCTAATTCAGATGTAACCATTCAACGTGGTTTACGTGTTTTTGAGTCGAAAAAACGTGCTCGTGAACTTATCGATACTACGGTTACTACAGAGGAATCATCTCATGATGAGTCAGATTTTGGGAATTCCAAGCGTCGAAAAACATCTAGAACTTTCGATATATCTACCTTGGGGTGCACACAGGAAGTCGATGGCTTCTCTTTCACATCTTTGCGTCAGCTCAGTAGCGGAAATGCAGTTAGGCTTACTGTCTGCCCAAGCGAAAGCAGAATACCGCCTAAAGTCAACGAGCGAAATAGTAAATCCGTTCAGACACAAGTTTTAAATGAATGTGAAAACGATAGAACAGTCTCTACCATTTCATCTACGGGAAGTGTTGAACCAACTCGAAATAATATTCTTGGATCTGCTGCAGCCCTGAGAAGAAAAGTTCCATACATGTCACCGTCTGAACTTGAAGCCCATCTGTTGTCTACTAAAGCCTTAACATATACAAGTCTCTATACTCTGGAAAATTACACTTCAGAAGCAGGTGATTGTCATTTTGTTGATCTGGATACATCACCTGTTCAATATCCAGGGGAAAAAGTCGCTGCTCGTAGGATTGCGACTGAAAGCATTCAAACTACAGAGGATTCAACTCAGTCTACTTTGAATGATACTAAATCACCGCGGGTTACTTATATGACTTGCTACGATCAAAAATCAGCAACTGACAGTTCAGAACTCCCAGTTGTTCAGCCAACATCCTTAAATCGCTTTATTGCCAACCTTGAAGGTCATTCAAACCTATTTTTTGATAAAATGATTCAGTCACATGTTAAGACTAATTTTTATCGTCCTTCCGATGGGTTTGATGTGGAGTCACGTGTGAAACGTATTCGTGAACTGATATCAGCCAAATCTATTAATTATAATTCGAGTAGCTTATGCGGTCATAATACTCACACTACTATCAGTTCCCTTACGGGGACTAGCCATGATAGTTCCACCACTCAAATCCTAGCTATTTCAAATGCACCCCTGATAGTTTCTACTATATCGTCGTCGCTGCCCAGTGTTTCTTCAACATCTAGCATAAATTTCATGTCAGTTATTGTATGTAGCACTTCTGCATCATCTGTTCACAATATTACTTCTGTTAGCAACCCATTGTCATCTTCGACCACCTCAAAACATTTCAGTTTTCCTACAATTAGTGAAGTTGTCAGTACTCAAACCATTGTCCCAACATCAGTTGCCGTTGCTTCTATAACAAGTGTACCTGGCACCATAAGCTTTGGTTTTAATTCTGCATCCAACGTATCTGCTCCATCCACCTCAGTAACTAGCTCAAGTACAGTATTATCAACTGCTGTTACATCAGTCGCATTTTCTTTCTTTACTCCTGCTTCGACTGCTCACGTATCACTTTTGAAGGATCCAACAATCACCTCAACAATAGCTGTAGCTTCGTCAGCTTCAGTCTCATATTCAGCATTTCCATCAGTTACAAAACTTGGCTCTATCTCAGCATCTCAAAATAATTTCTCAGTAGTTCCATCTTCCGTAGTTACTTTTCCGACAAGCGCGATAACTACATCTTCTATAATGATTTCTGAAACTACGACAACAGCAGCAACACAGAAAACCACTCCTGTTTTCTCTTTTACATTCCCATCCTCCTCATCGAATCTTTCATCTCCACAGACAACTGGTAAGTTTATTTACTAGATGTAATGATCTCTGAAGTTGTTTAGTTTTTAGTAACCAAATATCCAATATTTGTATTTATATTTGTTGTCTAATATTTATAATCAACAGTTGAATCTTTGTATATAGAAAAGTCATTAAAACACTACAAGGCTGTAATGTCCTCAAACGACTTCTGAATGTTTTAATTAGCACAAGTTAGCCAAATTATGAAATATGATGGATTGTTTGAATGACCATCAGTGTTGGATTACGATGTGATCAATTATTAAAATTTCTAATTTTGAACTTATGAAAAGCGTATCCTTACAGTGGTTAAAGCTTCAACTAGGAATTACTATGCGTTATCATTTCTGTCCTTTCATTTATCGTATTTCATTATAAATGGTAATAACTACCTACTGTTTGATTTGATGGAAACTTTAACATTTAGTCATGTGTAGAGCCATTAAAATACATATTATTCAACCATTAAATCCTTATGCTACCATGCTGCACGTGGATCATAACTAACTGACTGGCAATCCGTATTCTGACTTATTCTCAATCTGTGTCATTGTATACACTATGGCTTATAAACTGTTTGACGTTATCATTGATAAAACCTACGTTGAAGGATTTCTTTTTTCAACCACTATTAGCCTTGCTACATAATTTTTTATCGATAGCTCATTCAAAAATCCCTCTCAGCATAGCATTATTGTTTTCCTTTGTGTGAAAGAGTAATTTAAACTCGTAGGCGCAAATGAGTGCTGGGGTAACTCAAAGTTTCGATCGACTTAAATGTAACGGGTTATCTGTTTTGTACCTTTAGCGGGTATACGTTAAATTTAAATATAAGAACATTGCTAAACTACCATCTGTTGCATTGGATAGAAGCGATTTCAACTATTTGTTTATTTAGGCGTTGCAGTAGCTAAATCTCTGCTAAAATTATTTTCAGAAACGAGAATGAACTTTTTGCGTTCTCCACTGTAAATCATTTACCAGGTACATGCTTATTTACCTAGCTTCGGGACACACTTCATTTGTTAGGTCTTGTAATGTGGCCGGTTGTTAAAACATAATTGGGTGTAAGAGGTTTCAAATCTGTAACCTAACGGCTAAAAGCTAAACATACTAACGATTGAATTAGTGCTCCACGTTTTGAAATAATGTGGCCTAGTACAATACCAAGCCTTCGACATCATATTATCACATTTGTCGCATATTACTGTTCCGCCACTTACGTACAAATAAGTTTGTGACGTATGGTGTTTAAAGATCACCAAACTGCCATTCCAAACCGCTACTCCTAGCTTAACCATTCACTTAGTCAACGATGTCAGCATCAAAATTTTAACTTAACCTTGCCATTATAGAAAATTTATGACTTAGACTAACTGAAGAAATAATGAAAGATTATGAGGTGATATCTCACTACCGAAAATCTCAATACCAGTAGTGAAGGTACCTAAGAAGAAATATAGTTAGGGTTAGTAGAATCAATAACTTCGTTTCCGACATGTGCCACTAATTTCGACCTGGTTAACTTATTGCTTTCAAGATATAATTGTATCATTTTTTTGAACAAGATTTTGATGCAGATTTTCATCTAGTTTCTTTCATTATTATTCTTAAGGTTTAAACCTGCCATCAGCAGCAAATCTTACTTCGAGCGTTTTTGAATCTTTGAAGCCCGTTTCTACATTCAGTGGATTTTCTTCCCCAAAACCATCTGTTATATCATCGGTTAGTACTACTGCCAGTGATTCAACACCGGTAGTTAAAAATATGGTTCAGTCCATCGGTAGCCAACCGTTCACTTTTGGTTCAAGTACTTCACAGCCCATTTCCGCGGCTTCCCTTTTTAAATTTGGAGCACCCACAGTGACTACATCCGCACTCAATCCAGTCTCGTCCGTCAGTTTTGGACTGACTTCTGCACCACAATTTCTGGGATCGTTTTCCAACTCTGCACCCCTGTCAAGTAGTTTTGTCTTGGGTGCTAATTTGTCTAAGTCTTTACCGACGACTGTAAGCACTGCTTTTGTTCAAACGACGGCTACATCATCACTGAATACTGTGGTAAATAATGCTGGTTTGTTTACCTTTACATCCTCAGTTACTAGTAACTCTAGTGTGTCATTATTTGGATCAAATTCCATTAACACCAACTCCACAACTGTATCACTTTCTACGAACACATCTTTTTCTAGTTTCAATTCAACTGCGATGAATCCATTATTTACTTCCGTGCCTAAAACATCTGCAAACTCCTTCACTCTTGGAATTAAGCCTGCAAACGTAATTCCTGCAAATAGTACGTCTTTATTTGGAGCTAGCAATTCGATTTTTGAAACTCCGAACACATCGTCTGTAAAATTTAATTTTAATCAATTAACTCCTAGCAGCGCATCTAGTGTGGCCACCACCGGTGGATTGTCGTTTGGTGCGACAATTGTGACTACAGCTTCAACTTCTATAACTCCTGCCAGTGCACCGTTTCAGTTTGGTAGTTTCAGTTTTACTTCTAAGCCATCTGTAACTTCCGTATCTCAACCCTTCTCTTTCGGTTCATCAGTGCCTCAATTTTCGTTTGGCCAACAGTTCACACCGGTACATTCACAACCAAACACTGTACCAACATTGCCATTTTCCTCGCTTATTTCAGGTTCCACGACAAATACTAATGCTTATCAGTTTTCTTCAACTCCCGTGTTTTCTAATGCTAATCCTATATCTAGTTTTGGTGGGTTTAATTTTTCTTTACCCCCAACATCTACACCAAGTATAATTAATCCTCAAACAAATACTGGTTTCGTTTTCGGTCAAACAGCTTTAGGTGCTGGCGTTGTTAATTCCAATCCATTTACCTTTGGTACATCTTCAACTAGTCCTTCATCTAATGCTCCAAACGCGCCGCGACGTCGACCACTTTCAAGCAGACGCTCTCGCCGCCCATGATTTTTTTTGTTTCTCTAACTATTATTGTAATTATATTCTCATTGTTTTATAAGATGAAACATGAACTGGACAATATTTTTACACTGGAGTCGTTATGTTTGCACTCGTGTGTGTGTATGCTTGTGCGTAAGCACTAAAAGACTAGAGTTCAGAACTTTCTTGTTGTTAATCGCAGTTGTGTAAATGATGTTAGTTGTTTTCCACCTATTTTTACTTGGTGCCGTTTGAAACTATATATATTTTCTTTCTCTTCGAATAAATGCAAACTTTCTTAATGTGTATATGTAAAAGCATATTGAGATGGTTATTGTATATCCTCTATTTTCCCCTTTCAGCTTTTATTTTCAATCCTATCTAAAAATTATTCCTAATTTTTTTTATAAAAAGGGGAAAGATGTTGCAAGTGTTACTACAAGCTGATATGTAATATAAAATATAGTTGCTAATCACTATTTTATGTTTGGAAAAGATTAGTTTGTTTTTCCCCTCATGCATTTTGTTTAAATAAGAAGCATCAGTTTAATGCAACTAAGTCAGCAGTGAAGTGGATTTACATAAATAAATGCCCAAACAATTTCCCTCTGAAACAGTGCTTTCAAATTAGGCGTGCAGTAACGTACTTCAGTGATGCACTATATTAGTAGTGTTATAGACGTTTCAAATTAAGGAATGTTTTATGAAGTTCAATTTTTTCATGAATTTATGCGTGATGTGTTGTTTGCTATTAAAATCGAGTATTTGCGATTTTTAACGACAACAAGTAGGTTATATTTAAATATCCGACGGCTTTTCCCAATTTTGATTGCTACTTGTCATCAGTCTAATTTTGGTGGTTATTTTATTCCTTCAGTTGGTCCTTGTTACAGTCTAAGGCTAAATGCTGATGCACCGTGCAAATTGCTTTCAGTCTGTGTAACTTGAGTTTTCCGTTTATTATATTTAACCATCCAACATAGAACTTTGTGTAAGTCAGCTACAACGTAGAAGTTTGTACGTACGTACTTCAGTTCTAGGTACCATACCACATTATTAACATACATCGAATTGTCAATATATATATATATATATATATATATATATATATATATATCGAAAGTGTACCGGACACATCTTTCATTATATATGCAAAAGTCTGAAACTATATTTGAAGAGCCTAGCTATGTTACTTCAATTTATAATCAGCTTCATAACATTATCCTTCAATCTAACAATACGCAGTGATGATAAAATATAAGTTTCATGATAACACCATTCTGGGATTTAGAAAACGACCTAAATGTTTATCTGGGAGATCGTAAGGCTGTTCATACGCCAGTCAGTCATTTACAACGTGGAACTTCGTACATGAGTACGTAAGTTCATGCTGCCATACTTCATCAGCACAGGAATGAAACTGTCAGTTCAAATCCCATAGTAGTAGCGATGGTAGAGGACGATGCATGCATAATATTAATTAAAGTCGGTGTTATAAAATAATAAAGCATACCGACATAGTCTGTTGCAACGCTAAACATTACTTTCTCATTATTGTAGCGATGTCTGTAACGTGATTATATCATCCTGACAACGTCACTACATAGAGGGCAGTTGTAATATTTTTAGAAGTGCATGCCCTTATTTACTGTAATAAGGCCTATAACAGTGTAGTCAACTAAGACGTTAAGACAAGATGGGATAAGTGAGTTATTTAAAGAAAACTCAGCATACTAGCAAAAGATATCTTCAGACTTCCATTTGCAAAACAAGAGCATTATTGTCCGTCTTTCGCTTTCCTTCTGTTTTCCTAAATACGTGCCATGCTTTCCGATCCAACACTTCTCTGTAGTAGCTTCTGGGCAACACTTCGCTGCATACTACTTGTCAACCACTCTGCGAGTAGTATGCCTCATAATCTATAAAGTAGTTATTATATTCTTTACTACAGAGGTCACTTACTTGAGTACTCTACTCAAACGAACTGTACTGTCCTTAATTCTTAAAGTTCACTGTGAAACACACTAATCTAAGGATTATATATTTATACTTTTAAAAGCAACTTTGTACATAATCTTATGAAGTGGATGTTTTTCAAATATTTCATGTAAGTGTCCCTTCTGTATCCGGTTTTCATTCAATCTGTTGGTGGGTTTTTGCAAAAGAACTTGTACATTTGAAAATTTTTTGAATATTACGATGATATTTTTTAAATTTGTATATTTTTTCAGTGAGTTTGATAGACGAATTCTTTTTGAGTTAACAAACCTGCTTGTAATAAAATGGAATTAGTTGGTTGTAAAAATTCATTGATGTTGTAGCTAACTGATTGATTCATACTCTCACCTCTTGAAACCTTGAGTACTCGATTTTGAAGTGTACATCTGAAATTATTTGAAAACTGTTTACATTAGTTTCTAATAAAAGTTATTACTTGATTCAATAAAGTTTATCGTTATACTGTCGTAAAAATGGGTAGTAATAGCTATCAATTAAAAAATATTTCCATACGATACACATAATATTAATTCTCAAATTTATATTTATTTTATTCTCTTCTACCGTTCACAATAATTTTAGTTCAGATTCTCAGAGCTGACTTTTACATTGAATGTTTCCAAGCTAAGTATAATTTATTAGTAGATTTGAGTATTAGTGGCTAGCGGTGGACACGCTTTTCGCTCTCTTGGGATCCGTCAGCTAGATGTACCTGGTTAATGCTTCCCAAAGTGAAGCTGAATTAAACATTTTTCTCTGACAATGGTCTGTGCATAGCTCTTCAAGGCACTATCAAAAGTAAAGCATTCCTTTGAACTTAAACTGCCCAGTTTTTTGTCAGCATTCACTATGCATATGGCAATGCCTGGTCTTTTCTTAATTTATGTTTTTAATTGTTCATTGAGGTTTTACATTTGAATATTCTTTATTATACTGCTAAATTTTCATTAGTTAGTTTGATGAGTTATCTACATTATTTTACGCGTGATATTGTTGAAGTTAGTATTTTTTGTACCAAGCTGTCATTAGTATGTGCTGCTCAATTGCAACGTATATGTCAATCGATTAGTCAGCTACAACGTAGAACTTAGTACGTACGTACATCAGTTCAAGTTGTCATACCACATTAGCACAGAGATTGAATTGTCAATTCAAATCCCGTAGTAGTAGAAGTAGTAGAAGTATTAGCGGTAATGGAGAAGATTAGGGTTCGAAGATATTGTTCAAGAAGTAAGATCTAGTGAAATAAATTTAAAAGGAGATAAGAAAAAGTCCGAAGCTCATGAGGTCATGAGAGAAGACAAAAAAACGGATGCATCTGCACTAAACGATTTCGAACCATAACATTCAAAGTCTCTAACCATCGACTAGTATTGTCTCGCTGACCCCAACAAGATAGTCAACACCTACTAACATGTCTCAGTCCATTTGTCAATGGCTTCATGAATTTGTGTCATGTTTTGGTTTGGCCGCCCCTAAATATTTTCAGCCTACTCCTACATCATAAAATGTCGCTCTTCTATGCAGTCGGTGGTTAGATATACGCAACACATCCCAACCACCTCAACTAATGAAGATTCACTGCTTCATCTTTGATTTGCCATCCCCACCAAGTACCCTTTTCCTAACACCACCGTTAACTACTCGGTGGTCCCAGGGTATACGATTATTGCTTCGAAGACACTGATGACAGAATCCTAGTAACCTACGAATACCCTCTACTCTTACTGGCCATGCTTCACACCGATAAAGTAGGACTCGTCCTTTATTCAGTAAACGGATATCTCGACTACGCAATAAGCTACGTAAGTTGGCGTTAGCCAGCCGAGCCTTCTGTATCCGTGTTGAGATTTCGTCAGTCACCAGGCCATCAGCACTGGTGAGACTCCCCAGATAAGTGAAGCGATCAACCCGCTCGACTACTTCACTCCCTATCACTAGTTGAGGTGCCGATGCAACCCAATCTTGAAGCAACATTTTGCATTTCGAGGGGGAAAACCGCATCCCGAATATTCTTGCATTGTTGCTTAGGATAGTCAGAAGACTGCATTTTTCAGCGTCTTCACCAAGTAGGACTGTGTCATCGGCATATTCTAAGTCGATAAGCGAGCCTCCTGGTAGAAGGTCTACTGAAAATTCAGATGAAGATAATGTTATGTCTAGAAGCATGTCTATGACAAAATTAAACAAGAATGGAGAGAGTGGACATCCCTGACTGACACCACTTGAAGTAAGCTCTCACCCGACCATTAGTGTTCGAGTAGAGAGCTTGTACGAGGTTAATGTACTTCTCTGATACAGCCTGGTTTTCTCTAGTCTGCTCGTGGCAGAAATCCATGAAGTCACTGACAAGTGGACTGAGTCATGTTGGTAGATGTAGACTACCTGGTTGGGGTCCGCGAGACGAAAGTCATCAATGGTTAGAGACCTTGAACGACATGGCTCAAAATCGTTTGCAATGGCGCAGGTGCATCCACTCTTTGAGCTCTCTCAAATCCTAATGTTCTGGATTAGCCAGCACCTCTACCTTTGTCTAACCTTATCTCACTGAATTATATTTTTTGAATAATATCTTAAACCCTAGTCTTCTTTATTATAACATTAATACCTCTACCATCTTTATCACTATGGGATTTGATTTGACATTTGCGTCTCTGTGCTAATAATGTGGTATGGCAACATGAACTTATGTACATACGTACGAAGTTCTACGTTGCAACTGACTGACCGACTGACTGTTCGAGTAGAGAGCTTGTACGAGGTTAATGTACTTCTCTGATACAGCCTGGTTTTCTCTAGTCTGCTCTTCACGAGCTAGAGTTAGGTTAATCGAGGCTAACAATTTAGAAACTATATTAGTTAGACTGATTGCCCTGTGATTGTCATAAGAGGACAGGGATTGGGACCAGTTGGATGGGATTACGTCCAGTTCCCAGATTCTACCTAATATCTCGGTCAATCTAGCTGCTAAAACTAGACCACCATCCATCAATATCTCAGGGGTCAGTCTATCAGGACCCGCTGCTCGCCCTTGCTTCATATTTCCTATAGCCTTTTCAACTTCATAAAGAGTCGGGGGACTTACGTCGACTTGCCATTCAGGATGACTGCAGATTGTGTGCAGCCGAAATGTGGCTGAACGCCAATTAAACTGATCCCTGAAGTGGTCTGCCCATCGATCCAATCTCCTGAATCGAGAATGAATAATAAGTCCGTCTTTTTCCGAAATAGTTTCACTTACAATCGGATTCCTAATACCGGTTTCCTTGATGAGTCTGAATAGTAGTCTACTGTTGCCTATCGCCACTGCCTTTTCCATCTCTCTTGCTTTCGCTACCCACCACTGTTCACGGTCGTTGTGTAGGCTTTTTGTCGGCCTGTCCCTAAGCTGACTTCGTTCTTCATCATGTTCAGAGCCAGGTGGGATGAGTTTACGAGCGTCTATCAGTTCGGTGGATGCTGCTGAGATCCACGGTTTCTTCCTAGCCTTATAGTTTAACTTACTAGCGGATATCACTGCTGTTTCTACAGCTTTTTTGATATGATTCGAAGCTGCCTCATGGTGGGTATCACTTACTGTTTTTCTGGTTGTTCCTGAAATATATTCTTAGCTTTATTATGATTAAGTAGAGCCCCAAGAGGTTTCCTTGCGATATTTTTCTTCCGTCCAGTGAGACGCAAACAAATACGCGCCTGCACTAGAGCATGGTCCGAGTCTAAACAAGTGCTCCAGAATCGGCGGCAGTCTTCAATAGCGCCTTTCCGCTGATGGCTTATAGCGATGTGATCTAGTTGGGAGTCGAGAGGTCAAAAGGTGTTCTTCCTTATACTTTAGTGTTTGCTAGAAATAGGCGGCTATATGAGCATGGCTGCACCAGACGGTCGCTATTATCTGTTCTATCAACCGCGACACTATAAGATCCACCCAGATGTCTTTCCTTTTCTCTGAGTCTATCTACTTGAGCATTGAAGTCACTAGCCATTGTTACTACAGCAGAGCGCCTAACGTTTCGAAGGAGGTTCGAAAGTTTCCTGTAAAACTTATCTTTCACCTCGTCTGAGATGAAATCAGTGGGTGCGTAGGCAGACACGACGAAGAGACAACGACGGGTGTCCCTATCTTTCCGAGTCCTTACTGTCCTAGTTCTGCCGTACGACTCAATGCTATAACTACACCAGCAAGGTCCCCGGAAGCAGAATCAGGACTACCGGATACACGAAGAGTAAATCTAGCTGCTTCTTTATTTTGACAAGGAGACAGACAGAGACAGATACAACGCAGAACTTCGTACGTACGTACATCAGTTCAGGTTGCCATGCCCAATCAGCACAGACGCAACTGTCAGTTCAAATCCAAGAGTGATAGTGATTTTAGAAGTATAAGCAGTAATGGAGAAGATTAGGGAGTGACGATATGATTCGAGAAGTATAATTCAGTAAGATAAATTTAGAAGGAGAAAGGTAAAGATTATGAGGAATTCGGAAGGTTAGAATTAGAGAGAACACAAAGAGTGGATGCACCTGCGCCATTGCAAACGATTCTGAGCCATGTCGTTCAAGGTCTCTAACCAAGGAGAAATCAGATTAACAATTTTACTGGAATCCTGTATGCGCGTTTCCGAGACGCAGCATACATCGATGGCACGAGATTCTAAAGTTCTAGCTAAGGAGGCCTCTTGCCCTATTTGACACAGTGTCCGTACATTAAAAGCTCCAACATGTAGTCTAGAACGAGGTTTCAAGAGACCAGGAATGACGTTTCGTGAACTCGCACCGTTTGCATTAGGGGTGCAGTGAGATAAGAGAATGTGAGTAGATTTAGTTGTGGAGAGAAGAGAGGTATGTATGAGTGTAGGAAGGATTCGATTATGACCGGTTTTGTCTCGCGTGCTGTTACGGGTATGAGGGTGGTTGTCACTTCCCGGCTGCCCACACCGTGGAAGGTTGTTTCTTGAGGGACCTGAAAAGGAAGATAGATTAATGTTGGTCTTAGAGACCTGTGAGCTTGACCGCAGAGCTCAATGGACAACTGCTTGAGGCCGGTCACGCACGGCCTTTTGGTGAGAGGTTTTTTGAGTGTTAGCTCCGCTCTTTTTAAAGCCCTTAGTGGGCACCCTTACCACCGGAGATGGAAATCCGTGAGGTCAGGTGAGGTGTGACATTTTTAGGATCGACCTTCCCCAACCCTTCCTTCTTTGTGAGAAGGCAGCATTGCTGCAGATGCTCATAGCTAATGAGTACCAACGTCTCATTAACCTACAACGAGACTCAACTATAGTGTAGAGTGGTAGTTCAAGCCGATCTGAAGGTACATTTGGTACACCAGCGACATAATCAGAATAAGTCTGCTCATGCTACACCCAGCTCATCCCACTCCAACTCTGCCGAAAAGTCAAGAATGAATCCCCCTGCTGCTTGCTGGCACTGCGGTGAGAGGAAATTTGTGACTCTTAATATTAACGGGCATTTGTGTAGATTGCGAATAAATACCGCATCTGACGTCACCATCCTCTCACGCAAAAATTGGACCGAATTGGGTAGCCCAAGTCTGCAGCACACAACAGAGAAGCCTCGTAAAGCATGTGGTAATTACCTTCGTCTGTTAGGACAATTGGAATGTAAAGTTGCCTTCCGAGACTCGTCATTTACTTACTGGGGTATGTAATATAACTCCAACTGATCTAAATTTACTTGGTTTAGAATGGTTCGACCAGCTAAAATTGGCTGATCTCCCGCCACCTGGTATCACAACCACATGACCCTGAATCATATAAGAGGAAGCTGATGACGGACAGTTTTCAACCTGAATTAGGTCGGTGCACTGCCATGAAGGCAACACTTCGGTCGAAACCTGAGGCTAAGCCTGCTTTCGGTCCAAAGAGACCCGTACCTTATGCAACATTAGCAACAGTAGATGAAGAGTTGGATCGCCTTCAACGACAAGGAGTTATTACTCCCGTTCCTTACTCTACTTGGGCAGCACCTATAGTCGTTATCAAGAAGGCCAACGGCACGATGCATAATATGTGCTGACTTCTCTACAGGTCTCAATGCAGCTCTGGAACAGCATCCTTATCCTCTGCCAGTTTCCGCAGATCTGTTCACTATGCTGAATGGGGGAAAGTTATGTGCAAAGCTCGATCTAGCTGATGCTTATTTGCAAGTGGAAGTAGATGAAGCATCAAAAGAGCTGCTTATTATCAACACTCATCGTGGTTTGTTCCAGTATAACCGTCTGCTTTTTAGAGTTAACACTGCCCCATCTATCGTCAAGCAACTAATGGATACTATCCTATCAGATATCTCAGGGGTTTCAGCTTATCTCGATGATATCTTAATTGTTGCGAAGACGTTAGAACAGCTACGGGAACGCACGACATTGGTACTACAAAGCATCAGTGACAACAGGTTCCTGTTACGCCCAGAGAAATTCCATTTTTTTATTGCGGTCGGTAAAGTATTTGGGATTCATCTTTGATGCCGACGGTCGCAGACCGGATCCTGAGAACACCCGAGCTATTAAACTGATTCCCACTCCCACTAATGTCTCGGAATTACGATCTTTTCTCGGACTAATCAGTTATTATTCAGCATTTGTTCTCTCGGTGCATGATATTCGCGCTACGTTACATTTCTACTGCAGAAGCATAGCACATGGAATTGGACTAAAGAGTGTGACGCGGCTTTTCGTAAACTTAAGTCTATAATTAGCTCGGAATTGTTATTAGCACACTACGATCCATCCATGCCGATCATCGTAGCAGCAGACGCTTCAGCATATGGCCTAGGTGCTGCTATTTCACATTAGTTTCCAGACGCGTCAGAAAAAGCCGTTATGCATGCATCTCGTACACTAACCTCAGACTAGAGAAAAACAGGCTGGTTTTAGACTTGGACGTGGATGTATAGACCACATTTTCACACTAAGACAGGTCCTGGAACACAGGCATACATTTAGGCGTCCTGCAATAGTTGTCTTCCTGGACCTTAAGGCGGCATTCGACTCTGTTGGTCGTGAGGTTCTGTGGCAGTGTTTGTCATTGAAAGGTGTACCAAAGAAGTCTACTTCACTAGATTCTACTTCTTGAATAGTATCTTCTAATCCTAACGTCTCCGACTATTGCTCATACCTTTACTACCTCTACTACTATTGGACTTGAATTGACAATTACATCTCTGTGCTAATGTGGTATGGCAACTTGTACTGGTATATGTACGTACGAAGTTCTACATTGTTGCTGACTGACTGATTACAATAAACAAAGTTTTTTCCGTGTCCTTCCTCCATTAGATACGATGACTTCTTTCTTTTGAAAATATATAACTAGTTAAAAAAAAGAAGTTCTTAGTTAAAAGACAACTGAGAAAATACTACAGAATACACTGAACAAACTAACAAAGCTTACTCGAGTCAGTCTTAAATACTGTTTTTCTATTTCCTGCATAGTACCGATGATTTGACAGCTACCAAAATCAACAACCAAATCATCACGCTCGTCAGTGTAGTTTGAAAGCAGCTGACTGGTAGTTCGTCCAATTGAGCCTGACCCAATGGATGACTGAGTCAGATGGTCTTTAAACCTACTGGCTCGTTGGGTAAGGCGAGACTCGCTCGGTGGAGTCTGCTTCGAAATATTTCCACGTTTACCTCGCCAGTTGCCGCGTCCACGACCCCTTGCAGCTGTTGTATCTTCATTTGAGGTATTCGCGTCAGTACTCGAGTCAGCATTTGAGGCACCACCGCGTCTTCGTCGTCTACCCTTGGAATTCCCCCTGGTGACTGGTTGTGGTGTACTAAAAGATCGTAATGAACATTTATGAAGACTACCACAAGATAGAGTGCAGATAACATGAATACTTAATAAATGGTATGAGTTCTTTCTTAATGGGTAATCTATAGGGACTAGCACACAGTATATCCAAGTACTAGTCTAGTTTAGGCAAGTAAAACTTTAACTGTTTAATAATAACAGTAAGTGAAACTTAATATTCTATCAATCAGTAAACTATGCTTTTGAAAGCTGATGTGCTCACAAAAAAGATAGACGTTACGTTCTAATCCCCAGCTTTAACGTTGCACGCATTAGCGGCAATACATGGGAGCGTGAGAGCCGTAGTTAAATCAGACGACCGATGCTACCTGGTAATGAGCCAACCATTCATCTCACTTAAATATCATTGTAAAAAGCATGCATTTGCTGTCATTCTAGTACTATTAATGACGTATGTTATCTTCAAACGATTCAGTAGATCTGTGAACACTGCCTCGAACACCACCTCGATTTTTAAAAAGTGTAAAGATAATAAGGAGAGCAGAAACTATTTAGTTTTATGTTATTACAAGCTGGCTGCTATTGATTGTTTGTATGCTCTAAATACAATTAACACTAAATAGATGGTCTGTGTATTAAACCGATATGCAGGCTGATGAAAAACTTGCACATGATTCAAGAGGTTGACCAATTGAGAAGATTAAAACCACCAATGCCAAGAGGACTGAAGTTCCATTCATTCAATAAGTCATATCGAAACACTTGCATAGTGAATTCACAAGGAGCACGAAGTTGTACAACATGAAATGTAAAGTAAAGTGGAAGACTGTTAGTTCGACTTAAGGTAGGGCACCTAAATTTCTATGCGCCACACAAATCACTGAATCTGTGTGGGCTGGATGGGATATTTCAAGGCTGTCCAAACTGAAGCAGGTAGTTTTCTTAGGGAGGGACTTCTCGAACCGTTGACCTACAGGTCTAATCCACAAGGCAGTGGAACGTTAGGCGGTGCAGAGCTACACAGTAACAAATAGCCAACAGTAAATCTGTCTGTCATTTGTGCTTTCGGGATTCTGGAGACCAGATGCACTATTATTTTAGAATCAGAATTTTTTAATTGCCCTAAGTAGGTCGGCCGTAGACAGTATGCTAGACAATTATTTTTCATCCTCTCAATTTTGTGAACAACACCACTGCCACAAGAAGGACTTCCGTGGTGGTGGCTAACACACGTGGTCATGAGAGCATTTCAAGAGAGCGGCCTCTCTTCATTTGCGGTCATACCAACATATTTTAAGAATAAATTAGATACAAATTCATTGTTTTGGACTAGTTTTTCCTCGAATATCTTAAACCACTATATTTCTCTGGCAGATTTTACAATTTTCTATACACTTTGCATTATTAGTTAAAGGAAAGAAGTCATCTTTTGGAATTGAATACACGATTTTTAACTATTGAAAATACTTCACAAACATGTTGAAGATAGATTGAAATAGGATGTAAGCACTTTCACATAGCATCATAAGATAGATGGGTTTTCGGGGGAACACGAATGTTGGTGCCAAAGTACTTCACAACCATTTCGAACTTTCAACACTTCCTGCTGTTAAGAACATCTTTGTTTAACGAGATTTTCCATTTATGCAAAACTGTTGACTATTAGGTAACTTATATCAACTTGGATGTACGTGACACGAATGGAGTAAAATACCATTTTTTTAAATCTGCAAAACGTGTTTCTGGTTAATCAACATTTCACTTTTTAGAATCGAAACTGAACATTTCGAAATAAATTGTATACCTGATTACCACTCATTGAATAAACTATTTGAGGTTAACGATAATAAACACTAAAGAGAACTGATTTAGTACGAGTTTTAACTAACCAGTTGGTTATCAAGAGAACTCATAACATCAAGAACACAATAGACATCAGTTTTCAACGGAGTTTGGACTTAACACAATTGATGATTTACAGAGCCTAATTTACTTTTGCCTTCGAATGACCATTTTTGTTTTGATGTAATGAAGAATATCATCATTATGTAATACAGAAGTGAGCTAATTTGTCTACCCACAACAACCTTCTCAAAGTACAGTTTAGAACCCATTAGACACGGGTGGACAAAACGCATACATTAAAACTAAAATGTGGGGTTATCATTGGCACACCTTTTTTGAGAATCCTTTACATCATTCGTTTTTCGCTGTGTATGTCGAGAACCAGAGCGCGACCGAGAATCCCGACGCCAGTGGCGTTTTGTCCTGAAACTACTTGAGGACGAAGAATGAGGGGAGCCAAGTGATTTTGAGGATGAACTAGACCTGGATCTATATGAACGTTTTCTCTGCCAATCCTTTAAAGGTTTGGAAACTGGAGAACGACTAGGGGAGCGAGATTTTGATGGCAACTTTTTGGATGGTGATATACTTTCAGCAACTGGAGATGAGAACACATTACGACCACCTCTTGTCAAAAGCCCAACAGGAAGACGTGCAAGAGCTCCCCTTGATGGACCCGTCAGGCGAAGTCCACGAGGACCAGGAAGTTGAACAGGTCGCACAACACTAAGCAATTTCATTCAAAAATGCAAATATCTAATTAATTAGAGTTAAGTTATTGAGTTACAACTACAAGAGGTAAAAGCGGCTACAAATAGGTGGACAGATATCCAATATACATTAAAGCACTATACATGAAATATATAATTGTATTTACTATTTATTTACTGACTAGGTTCTACTGAACAAGTACAAGAAACCAATTTTATGGAAACTGTAGATTATTTAGAAACTAAACTAAACGGCAAAATGTTCAAGGACTCAGATTCATTGTCCTGAAATGATGAGAAAATACAAGTAGAAGTAAGTATCTGGAGGACATAAATTCCTGACGACAGTGCAACTTGTGTAATATGAAAACAGTGTGACAAATTATCGGACCAGAATCATTTTATTTTTTTTTTCAACATATAATAAAATTACTAACAAGATAAATCAGGTAAATTAATTCCCAAAGTAGCCTTGCGAAATCCACGCACTGCCCGTCTTATGTGAGTTTCTTCAGATGTTATGACTTTTTTACACCTGATCACTGTGTTTTCCTACTTACGTTCTATGGATCTACTTAATGTTAATGTTTCATCTGTTTTGAATCCTCTCTATTCAAAATTAGCATTTTCTCTTCCATTACCTTAACCTAAACTTGTTTTCATTACTGTTATCAATGTGTTTGGGCAGCAAGTAATCTGATCAGTGGTAAAAATGTGAAAGTAGTTATGCTGAAGCTGCGCCTCAAAATTGACTGAGATCGCCACTACAGACCAATCACGTGCCCGTCACAGAGAAGATAAGCTAATTCAAAGAGTATATTTACTGGTGATTTCGTGATATCTAAAGGTCACTGAAATTGCAGAGAGAGTGGAGTCAAAATGGCAACAACAGAAACGGAAAGTTTGTGCGCAGACAGTTGTAATAAACAAAGAGGTGCAGTAAAATAATTACTGGTACAATTGGTTACAATAATTAATGTTTCCATTTCACCAATCGCGTTCTCTTCATGAAAGTGGATTGACTACAATACCCTAATGTTTTATTGATAACTGCATCTGGTGAGTCATGACATACTTCAACCATGAATATTTTCTGTCTTGCTTCCCCACCCTTTCTCTTTCTTCCTCCTTTTCTTCACCATCGTGATACTCAAACGAAGCACCTGTGGAACATATTGCTTCATCCTACGCCTTAAACAATACACCTGATATTTCCGGAGAATTATAGTTGTTTTTACCAGAAACTTGCTAAATTCTCATCCGACGAAAGTCACCAAGAAGATCAATATACATTTACTTCATCAATTCTTGTTACATACAAGTCTGAACTTAACTTGCATTAATTCTCGACCATAAATCATTTATCGCAACGCGATAAACATAATTCGCATCATTCATTCGAGCCTTTCTAACATTATTCATAATCGTTTGTGTCTATCACCAGTGTATCTTGCAAAATATCAATCTGAGTAACCTAATAGAGTAAGTGTGATAGTATTTGTTTTGACAGCGAACTAGCATGCCTAATCTAAAAGTGTCATTTTAGATTATATATTATTATATTATAGCGAATTGTATCTATGAACTGCGAAATAACCAAGTTAAATCCCTTGCCAGCGTGAAGCCAAAAGACCAGTTGTGAGTGGATGTAAAGGTATATTTGTTGGTGATCTCGTGATATCGAAAAAATATCAAGATCTCAACAAACGTTGTGGGTGAGACCACCGAGGCAACGTGAGCAATGTCAGTGTCACATGATACGGAAGAGGATGGTTTTTGGTACAAATAAACAAAGGGGTACAGTAAAACAATTATTAGTACAATTGCTTACAATAATAAATGTTTCCACTTCACCAATCGCGTTCTCTTCGTGAAAGTATTTCACTACAATATTCTGCACTAAAATAATTTCCCAACTTCTGATTAGTTCAGAAATTAGGAAATCTTCAGTTCATTTTTAAAATCATTTCATGGATTCTATTTCTGGTGCAAATCAACTTTGTAAGTGGCCGGGAAAATCTCCTGCACATTGGAAGCATTGTAAAATAAACCCCAACATTGACAAAAGTGTGAACTATTTATTCGATCATAAGTTGATCGTCATACTCATCTTGCTTTGAACCTATGCTCTTTTTAATAATTCTATAGGCACCATTCACAGTTTAGCATTTTTTTTAAAATTTATTTCACCGAAAGCCTCAGGTCACCTATATTTGTGGCTTTTAAGCATTATCGATTTCAGCAACCTAGAATCACCCAACTTCAAATACGCCAATGTCCTCTGCTAGCTTATATGCACTAACACTAAGTAAAAGCTTTATTAACTGATATACTGCACATCAGAACATAAATCCTATGAAATGTCCCAATCCGACACACCCATGTCCGAATAATAACCATCAGTTAAGAACGAAATTCGTGTAATCATCAGAGTTGTTAAGTAATAAAAGTATTTTGATAACAGTTCATCTGTATTAGTAGTATTACTAAATCCTATAACGGTTAAGCAGTGATGAGGTTGAACAAATCTTAAACTACGTTAAGAATAATTCTGGCTTGATCACACCAAATTTTCTTCGCATAAAGTGAAGAGTTACATTTTCCTTGGCTGATTCCCCTATATATTTCGAACTAGTGTGGAGGCTTCCAATGGTTACCAAACTGAGACCGTGTTCTCAGGAGGCATTTGAGAGAGGATTTCCGTTGAGGATGTAAGTCGTTTGCATCATGTGGAGCAGAATTAACATAACGTGACATTTCGACTGGTTTAGTGCTAGACCTTCTTACACTCCCCATTCCTCATTGGATGTAAGGTCCTTTTGAAGCTCAGTCGAATCATCTTCGCTTCTAATGGACCTCCGGATCTTTTGATTGTCTGAAGTAGATTAGTACCGCCGAACTCATTTTATCTAACAAGTAATTAATATGGTTCCCTGTGAAGCTTCTGGTGTTGAAACTAACTAGCTCGCTTGCACTTTTCCACTTTTGCCAGGCCTTCCTTTCCGCCTGTGAGAACTGGCCGCTGCATAATGTTTGCTTGCGTAGAGTATTCAGCTGGCGAGACCATGATCTTTGTGTCTTGTGCCATGGGTTGTTGATTGAGGTCGACTGACATTAGTGTGCGCTTATTTTGGCGTCTCTAATGTTGTCTCACAGATATAGGTCGGCTCTTGAAACATCTAATTTAACTACAGAGATCGTTATTCATGCTGTACCAAGCCTAAGGTACCCCAGTTTGGTCTCCTCGATTTCTGAAGTCCACAGTCATCAGAAATGGAGACCTAATGATCGTAAGATGTGATGGACGAGGCGGGCGGGAAACGCCAACTGATATGGTGGTGTGAAAGTCCATGCATCGTGATAAACGTCGCCATTGTTGCGCGCCATGTGCGTGGTCTTCACCCGGTTGTGTTTAGATCGAGTGACCCGAATTCTTCGCACTACTTCAAGGTTCACTATCAAGTGGCGTTTTGAGTTAATCACAATTCTGTCGCTCGAGACTGGGATTTTTGACTCACCGATAGCCTCAAAATTCATACCTTTGTTTATTTTTCTGGTTGTTATAGTGCAAGAAGTGGTAGCGACGCTATTACTGAACATGTTGCCGAATAGATTCAAGAGAGCACGAGATAAACTGAAGGAGAAAATACGTGAGATATAAGTTTTGAAGGAGGAAATAATATTAAAATTGAGTTAATATGTACTACGCAAGAACAGAACCTGAGAGTCACCCGAAATCTCAACGTCGCTTTTGATCGTCTTAGTATGTGACTTCGCGTGAATCCAGTAACTTTACGACAAGTCTCGTGTTTGCGAGTGAATCAATGTGTGTATGCTACCGTAGCAGCAACTGGGAAGAGATCAGTTGACTGAGGCAGCTAGGCTTAAAATGACTAATCTGTCCTTGAAACTTAGTTTGATAGTCTGTGAAAACTCAGACTTGTTAAGCACTTAGTTCGTTATCTAAGAGAGACTCCAACATAAAATTTCGACTCCCTTAACGGCTTCATCAGAACTAGGTCATGCACTGCATGTATGATAGATATTTCTAATGAAATTGCCAGTATACACGATCAAAATCAACAAGTGATTGTATGGTATTTTGATATAAAGAAGGCTTACGATAATGTGCCTCATGTTCTCTTATTCAACAGATTAAGTCCATCAGGTTTACTGGCCTCTTATTGCAAGTGATTGTGTCTTTTCTTACGAATAGATAACAAACTACTAAAATTAACTCTACAACACCTACACCTTGATCAATTACCATTGTTATTGTTCAGGGTAATGTCTCCGACCAACTACTTTCCATAATTTACATCAACAACGTGTGCAGTCGCTTCAACACAGGCAAATCTACGTTTATGTTGATGAACCAAAACTGATATATAGAACCAACAAATGTGACATATGTTTAGTGGTGACCGAGTCGAGATTGACTATGATCACCACTAAATACTCATTACTATCCCATCACCAATTTTAGAAATAAATCCAGGGTTGACAATATATTTGAAGAAGAAAGTAGGCGTTACAAACTTTACTCGACCAAACGCCTTAAGATAATAGCGCTTCCATCGAAACCAGTTCATTCGGTATCAATGTCGAAGACTTATAGAACTACTTATCATGAGTATTTGTTACTACTATACTACAAGTGAATAGGAAGTTGATGTATCTTGTTCGGCAGAATTAGGTACTATAAGGGACATCTGATACTACAGAATTAACTAGCTGAGTAAATATAATGAGCCTCTTCTCATCCAAAGTACTTTTATTTAAGATTTTCTAAATGGTTGGATATCTTTTATTAATTTTCGTGACACGAAATACAGATAATACATATAGCGCAATCATAAGTCACAATGGTAAATAATTTATAGGTGAATATTCAGGTTAATTTGACACAGACATTAATAAAAACCAATTTCATGACAATAGAATAACAGCTGAACTTCCTATAACTCTCATATGATTAATAGTTCTTTATTGTTTAAATCTAACATCTCACAATTTCAAGTAGTGCCTAG